GGGTGCATGCGTGCGTTCAATTGTGCCAGCATGAGTTGGACAGACACGGTGCAGCTGCCATAACTTCACCAAGCCAAACCTACGAACACAGCGCAAGAACACAATTCCCATGCGCTTAACTGAAAACACGAAAACACCTTCTCACCATCTTGGCAAGAGGCCATGCGCCATTGCCTTTTGTGATGGGGATGGCCCTCAACATTCAGCAGCGCCCCTTTGCCAAACACCCCTCAACGCATCTGGCCCCCCATCACACATCGCAAATGGCACAAGCTCAGGCCTCATGGCTCGAGTTTCCCTAGGACCAAGTACAAAGAGGTTCGTGCATTTCCGCTTTGGGTCGTTCAATTCAATCATCAAAGCTGGGGCCCTTGAACAAGTTTCCTCTTGGTAGGGTGAATTTACTATCCGCGGTCAAAGAATTCATTCACTACCAGTGCTGATAAACATGTTCGTGAAACGAGGCATCTCATTCACGCAATCTGCCCACGATGCTTCCTGTCTTTCTTTTGGTTGAGACGTCTTAGCCCGGCGCCAAATCTGAAGCAAATAAAAAAGCAATTGCCAGGGCCCCTGAACCGTTGAGCTATGTCTAACCCTGGACTAACAAACCTCGCGTTGATCAATTTGGTGGATGTTTCCTTTTAGTGCGACTTTTAGTGGGATGGGTTTGAGGTTTAGGGCTTTCGGTTTTGGTTTAGGGGTTAGGTTGCAGGGTTTCGAAGGGAGGCTTGGGCATCGGTTCGGGGAGCAGGCGACCGATGAGGGCTTGTAATGCTGATCCCAGATTCATAAACCCCTGTTTGTTAATATAGGAGTGTTCCCCTGCACCATGATTCCCCACTAAAACCACGGACGCCCTTTACCAACAAAGTGGGGTTGACGAATGTGCTGTGAACATTGATAAGATTGATTGATGACTCCGGGTTGCCGATTTCCGTTCAAGACGCGGCAAGTGCGCGAAGCCATCCCAAACCGCCCCGAGCGAGCCCCGAGCGAGCCTTTGGGGCCGACGTGCACTTCTCCCGGCGCGGTCGCTTCGGCGAAGACTGGGCGGATTCCCAGGGCTGACGAGGACGTTGTAATCCGAGCATAAGGGCACCGGGCAAGATTTCTACTGCCTCACAAAAGCAGGGTGGCTGGGACACAAAGCGAAATGCCAAAAGCCGGTGAAACTATAGCATTGAGAAAGCACTTCAAGCAACTGAAAGCGCCTTATGCAATCTACGCCGACTTTGAATGAATGGCTGAGCTGCTCTCGCAAAGCAAGCGAGCTGCATGAACGTCAAAGCAACTGGCTTTCCACCCTAGCAGGCGAGGCCAGGAAGCGCAAAGACTTCGCTCCATGGATCCAACAAATCAACAACCGCCCGATTCTCAGCACAGGCATTGAACCACAGAAGCAAACTGAAGAGCCAACCCTTTGCTCTTGTGGAGGGCAGGGTAAGCATGGGTAAGCTTTCCGCGTTCCCTTTGACATGGGTTTGGTCAACGTGCAGGTGTTTGTTCAAGCAATTTGCGAAAACATTTCGCTGGATTCTCTGGGAAAGGAAAGCTCTAGAACCTGCCCACCACAAGAGCAAGGTTCCTTAAGCAGCTTCAAAACATGTCAGCCATCTACGCAGCTTTCAAATTCAACACGGGAAGATCAAGCAGCCAACACATGGTCAGCCAGGAATCATGTTGCAACGTTGCAGGTTCGAAGAAATTCGATGAACAACTAATTGCCTGGTCATTTTGCGTAAACAAATCAACCTGAACCAAGTGAACCATAGAGACCGGCCAGCAAATCTCGAGGATTCGGAAAAATGTGCCACTGGCTAGGTCAATACCCCATGTGCCGATGTTTCCTCAGCATCCAACATGCACATAGGAGATATGGCCGCGGTTGGGAGAAAAGAAAAAGCAATCTCCGCACGAAAGCGCCGAGCTGAAATCCACATCAGGCGTTCATGACACCTGTGCGTGCCCATTCTGTGAGTGGAATGCTTACCTTTGCCTTGGCAGCTTCCTGCCGTCTCAACAAACCAGTCAGCCAAAAATGCGGGGCGCCTTCTACTGCCCACAAAGCATCACAGCTTGCTCAAGGCAATGCGGCGTCTGAACATTAGGACAAGAAGCACTGACCTGACACCGAGAATCAACTTCTAGCCGGCTGTTGTCCATCATAGCTTGTTGCCTTGGCGGTTGTAGCTCCTGGCAATGAGCAACTCTAAGCTTGGTGTTCTGTGTGCAGGAGACGTTCTTTCCCAACATGCCCAGCTACAGTAAGTTGTGAAACCTAATTGCTAGTGCCCGGCATTCCTGGAACAAAAGCCTCATCAGTCGTAATTACCCGAAACCTAGTGGTCATACCTTTATCCCCAGTTGCAGAATGACTTGTTCTTTCTTTTCTTTGTTTAAAAAGGGGGAGCCCCCATTTTGGGTTGACCAATGGGGAGCCAACAAAGGGATTTCGAGGGTTCAAGCCACTGCGACCCGAGTCGGGACCCGTCTCCCGTGTCGGGCCTGAAAGAAGGAGTCCAAGCGCCGCTGCAACACGGGGCCTCGCCCCGTTCCGCCCAAAGTGCCCCGTCCCGTCTCGTTCCGAAGTCTCGAGGTTCCGCCACTTTTTGGCTCGGAAGTGAGGTCACGACTTGGAGGGGTTGAGTCAGGGGCGTATAAGTAGGGTGGGGCCACCCATTGGTTCAAACATGTTTAAACCACTGGTCAGGATGATTCTTCCCCTGTAAAGGTGGTGTTTCAACCATACTTTGCCCTACCCAGCGTCTAAGTCTAAGCCTACCTGGGAGGATGGCACAACTCTTGGGGCCTAACCTTTGGGTTCAGGTAACCTGATCAGTACACATGAAGGACGTATGTCATATGCCACACGTGGTACTCGTCTGATGAAATTGACACATCTCTACTCTTGGTACGGTAGCAAAAAACTTTGTTTTTTGCAGACCCCCAGTAAAAATGAGCAGAACCAAAAAACTAAAAAACATGCCAAGAACAGTGAAGGACATACTATGGATGGACAAAATCCTGCACCAGTTGGTCGCATCCAGCTGGTGCAGGAAAGCTTTTTTGAGAAGCCAGCTTCCACCCGATAGAATGCTCCAAATCAGAGAGGGGGGCACGCAGAATGAACTCATGTAGGTCATGTCTGCGTGGACTTAGGCGGTGGGCAAACAAGCATCTTCTAAATACTGATGCATCGTGAAGGCCAGCTAAATGATGAGCCTGCGCGCGCGTGTGGCTCATTGTGGCTACTTCAATAGGCCAAATGGCCTCGTGAAATGGCCAGCGCGGGCATGGGCAAGGTCCGAGTAGCTTCATAACCACATGGCTTTGAGTGTTTACCGCTCTTTTTCAGAACTCAGGGCTTCCCAACAAAAAGAAACCAGATGCTGCAGTTAGCCCGGGCTATAGCGGCTATAGCAGCTATAGCACGCCACAGGTTCAAGCCAAGGAACAGCCACCCAGGCGGCTCCGCCCCCAACTTGAACAACGCAACACAGCGACCGCTGCCCGACCTTGCCTCCTGGCTGCCTCACCTTCCAAAGCCGATCCTCGCGCCACAGAGATTCTGTTGCCCGTCTGTCAGCCACAGGGCACCACACCCTGTGCCATGGCTACCGGGATTTTGCCTTCAAGTCGCCTTGATGCTTGGACAATGTGAACGTGTGACGAAGGCTAAAGTCCACGGCTATTCAAACACAGGCGAAAGTGTGTGTGGTTTTGATTTATTCCGCAAAGCGCCTAAACCCCGCTGAAGTCCGCAATCGAAATGGATTCATGTCCATTTCAGTTGCCTTCGCTAGCGGCCGTGCAGCTGCTGCCAAAAGGAAGGCCAGAAATGAAGGGCAAAAAATGACGACCATTTCGTGATGAGATCCCGACATACTCCAATCGCTCGGTGTCGGAAAGCTCGAACACTCGCTCAATGCTCAACAGCGCCCGCGCTCGATCCCTGTCTCCCTCTGGCCTGCTACTCGGCGAGGGCACACAGAAAATGCATCCCCCTGCGTATTTAAATGTATTTAGGGGGTAGGGTTGGAACAGCCTTTCCATTGAAGAATTTGCAATTTAAGAGGGCAACTGCTTACAAAAAGGCTCCTGGACACCCATTTTTCTAGGGGTTGATTCCCCATTCTTTTCAACAATCGTTCTTTCCAAAAACTGGATCCGTTTTCCCTGGGCTTCCGGGGGTTTTGTAGAAAGAAGGATCCCTGGAAAGAATGGGGAAGGTACCCCCAGAATTTTGCAGGGACAATACATGACATGAAAATAGAGTCAACAAAGCTCCCAGGGTACCAAGCATACACCTACACAAAGCACACGCACATCACCAAGTCAGTGTCCTCATCTTTCTCCCTTCTTTGCTCTTCTCTCACATCAGGAACCGCCCAGAAAGCGACCGGAGATTCAATGCTTCAATTTGACACTACCCTGACCCACTGGCCTTCAGGTCTCATAACCGGGCGGCTCCTTTCATGGCCAAAGTAGCTTCAACCAAGCCCGTAGATGCACCGCTAACCAAAGCTCATGCCTACAAATGGATTGACCATGCCCTCAACTTGGCCCTCAAAGAGAGACATGTGGCCTCCACATGATGGATTTTTTCTTGGGTCCCTGCAACCTGAACTAAACATGGACCAAATCAAGGACAGCGAAAGGTCACAAGGCCGGCTTTGGGAAAGTGAGGATTTACAGTAATTTATCTTTGAGGCCAAGACATGGTCCTGCAAAGTGGGTTCTTTACAATCTGAGGCTCCTCAAATGTCCCCGTTCTGAGGCGTGACCTCCTATTCACCTTTTCGGTTCAGAAAGCAAAGTTTACCTACCTTCATACGGAAATGCGCGGCAAACACTTGCTCGTCATTCACCTGTCATGTGTTTGTCAAAAACTCAGTTCTCGCCGTTTCTCAGGCCATACAAGCAAGCGTTCAACGTTCATCCCCCCCTGAGAGGTCGTGTGAAATGACCATTTGACGCGCTCTTCTCGACCGGACTGGGCTCCCGCACCACCATATTGCCCACCCGGGATGGGTTGAACCTGAGGCTGCGCTTTTTTTCTGCGCGTCGCAAGAGCGATCGAACCGATGGGGCTCCAGAAGCCGATCTCGCGGCAAGATCGCGCCCTTCAAAGGGCACGCCCAAAGACAACTCTGACACTAACGGCAACCTCAAGGTGATCTTCAAAATTGCTCACCTCCCCCCCCCCAAAAAAAAAAGAAAGATAAACACGCAACAAAACAACGGGGACCTTTAAATTCCCCCCCCCCCCCGCCCCCAAAAAAAGAAGAAGAAAAAAGAACAAGAGACCCGTTTAGACCCCACAAAACGGGACATGAAGACGGCGGGCTGATGCTTCTCCACCAGAAGGCTCCGTAGCTTCTCGCAGTCTGCCGCGCTGGTAGCGACAACGCTCAGCTCCGGAAGCTCAGCGCCTGCGTTCTCGGCAGAGGGGAAAACCCAAGCCCAAAATGGGCCCTTAAAACTTAAAACCAAAAAAACAACGGGGGGTTGGCGAGTTCCAGCGTGGCAAGTTCTCAGTTGCCCAAGGCGATTCGACGCGAATCGACCTTGTAGTTTTTGGTCGCAAAAGGTGAGCACCATTTATGTCCAGTCCTTTGGGCAAGTGAGATTTGGGCATGGGCGCCTTTTCTGGGTACCTTTCCAAAAACCCAACACCCCAACATGGGTGGTGTGCCTTTGGTTTCCCTTAAAACAAAAACAGGGGTTTGGCACCTTCCCCAGAGGCTTATTGAAAGGAGGTGGGGTGCAAAACCCCAAACCAATCCAAACCACCAATTGCTGGTGATTGAGAGGTAGGGAATGACCGTTCTGGGTACTGGGAATGAACCGTTTGGGGATTGATTCCCTGAAAGGAAACCATAGGATGGATGGTTTATAGGGCAGCATGTTTTCCGGGGTAGCTGCTGGCCAATTTGGGTACCCAATATCTCTACCGTCTTCTCTCTGCCCGAGTTTCTAGACTTGATAATTTTTGGGAAGACAATGTGCGTGGAAAGGGTGGTAAACTTGCTGGTGCGATAGCCAGGGAATGACCCAGTCCGAGTGTTGGGAATGAACCGGTTGTGGGGATTCCCGAATCAAGGAAACCAAATCGGGGATGGGTTTTGTTGGGCAAGATGAGTCGCAAGCTTAAACTGGCAACGGCGTGCTTTCGGCTTCCCTCCCAAGCAGTCCAAAATCCGTTTTAACGAGAAACTCAATTTTAAGTGAACTGTTCAAAACGAAGCGGCCAGTAATCCACAATGTCTATTGTGAAACCACCGGGACCCTTTTCGTAACCCAAGGATTAACTCCCTTGCCCAGAGCCCAGAGAACCCAGAACAAGGTTTTTGGGGGCATGACGAAAAAATCGACCAAAAAGGGAAACCAAAAGGTCCAAAGGTCAGCATGGTCGGCCTTGAGCAGCTGAGTTAAGCATTCCAGAAACTCGCCCAGACATCCCCAGCAACCCCGAACGCAAATCCTGGAACCCGAGCCCAGCAAAGCCGCTGCAACCCGCAAAGCTTTCAGCGTTTGGGGAGCTTTCTCTGCTGGAAATGAAGAGGTGCCTTGTAATGTTAATCCCGTGTTAATCAACCTCAGTTTATTAATGGGGGGAGGGGCCCCCCTAAACCCAGGGACACTCCCTATTAATAAACTGGAGTTGATTAATATGGGGCCAACATTGGAAAACTTTCATGAGCTCGTTTTGCACCCACAAAGCCTGTTCTGATTTGCCCAAACAGCTCGTGCTGATTTGCGCCCAAAAGCACGTAGACTTTGCCCAATCCAAATCGGGGGGGTTGGATTCTTTGGGCCAAAACCTCGCTTCCTGAGTGGCTGGGCGAAAAGTCCAAACTGTTTTTTGTCAGGGAGGTCTTTTTGCACCTTTTGTGGACAATTGATCGACCCCTAGTGAAGGATTCCTTTTTGACGGGCTCAGCAATTTTCTCACAAAAAGTAGCAAAACCATCTCACTGGAGTTTTTGTCGCTATTCAGAAAGAAGTGAGAACCGCCTGGCCGCATGCTCCAAGCTTGCCACGTGTCCGGGGCTTCCGAAAACGGGGCGGGTGTCGCCGAAACGCCTTTTTGGAAGATCCGCTTGGCCGCGACCCAGTCCCAGTCCTCCGGAATCCTCAGGAGGAGGGGGGTGGGGGGTCCCCAATTCCAATATATCCATTTATCTAGTCTTCCCCATAAAAGGGCAAATGGAACCACAAATGGAATTCCAGGGGTCACCCCCCTCCCCAATTCCATTTTAAAGGGGGTGGAGATTCCTCAGGAACTCCGCGCTCGTGCCCAAGCTCGCCCCCCCTTTTTCAGTCCATCCAGTAGATCTCTGGGGGGGGCCGCATGCAGCGGGTCACGCGAAACTGAAACAACCATAGGTGTCCTTGTTCGGAAAATAGATGGCCCTGGTAGTCGATTGAACCACCAGGTCCTCAGGTAAACCAGGAACCGCCCTCTACTTTTCAACCAAATCAACCAAAAAGGACACCTATGGGAACAACCTATTCTCTTCCGGAGGGAGCACCTTGACTTCACACATTTGTTTTTGTGAGATTTCTCTGAGAATGACCGCGAGTGGGTGGAAGTACACAAGTCCAACGATGAAGTCCGTTCGCGTCCACGACATGTCGATGGTCAGGTTGAATTCCAAGATCATTGGCTGCCACAGTGTCCTGGCGCCCTTGCTATCTAAAACCCCTTGAGGGTCCAACAATAGGTGTGCTTCGACCACATGCCCCGAGAACTCTGCCACTGCGAACGACCCGCTTTCCGTGCCGCGGCTCGTGCAGCCCTTTGGGCCCTTGCCGGCGCGACAGGCCGCCACCGCCGCGTCCAACGATCCTGGCGATTCTCGGAACTCAAGCCCGTAAAGTCTGGGTCATTATTTTGACTGTTTCTCGGGGTTATCAAAGTCAGAAATGGGGTTGTTCCCTTCAACCCACCACTTAGGGGGTGACTTTGATCATGGTAACATGATGAGGCCAGTTTTGCGGGAACCCTCATTGTAGGGTCCATGGAAATTAAGGCGGATCTCCCCACATGGTTCCACTCAAGATGCTGATCTCTTGGCCGAGCAAAACAAGCAGACATGTGAAGGGCATTCATTCTCCCGGCTCACAAGCAGGTAGCCGTCCCTACCTGTCAGTGCGACAGCGAGCATATGTTCAAAAATCGATCCCCCGAAAGGGATTTGTTTCGGTTGTCCTTGTGGCTTCCTTGTGGCTTCCACCCCCAACAAGGGCACCCTCACAAGGGTACCCTTCGTTGCCTTCAAGTGCCCTCGAGTCAGGGGTGATCAATCCAAGAAGCCAAACAGGCACCTCCAACAAACAAAAAAACACCGTCTTGTGGCGGATTCACATGTTTTGCGTCCTTTGTTTTTCAGTTCCGGGGCTCAACGGATGTGAAATGCCCCGGCTTGAAGTCTGGCTGTCCTTCACGTTGCAAAAGCTGCGCGGCGGTTTTGGGGCCTGACGCAGTCTCAACTTGCAGATCGGCGCATCGCTGACTTGATGTCAGGGTCAACGAGCAAACCACTTTTGAGTGGGTCGGCCCAAAAGCGCCCCAAGCTCTTGTTTGCTGCAAGCACGGCCTTCCTGAAACTGGCCTCATGATTTTACCATCAAAGTCACCCCCGTTCAGTGGTGGGTTGAAGGGAACGACCCCATTTTCTGACTTTGATCACCCCGAGAAACCGAACCAAAGTCATGAGCCCAGTGAAAGTAACGCAAGGAACTCCGAGAGTGAGACACACAGTCTGCTTGCGCAGCGAGGCCGCAAGCAACTCCCGCTCCAGAAAAGTTTGAACAACTCGATATGTGCATTGGCATAAGTAGAAAAGGCTCACTGGTACTCTGCTCATGCTCTTTCGAGCTCAGCTGGCCATCCAATTATGCCAACAATCTATTCACCCCTGTCCAGCACACTGCAAGACGACGCCGTTGCCGTGAAAGGAATAGTGCAAGTGATATGTTTGCCACAGGCTGCTACCCTCTCTAAAACCTGTCTGTGAGAGACAAATGCATAAATGCAGAACTGGTGCCTGGCGAAGAGCGAAACAAAGACAAAGAGGATGGGGTACAGTATTGACTTAGTAGCATGGTTGACGCATGTCAATGTGCTGGTGGATTTCTTCAGAAGGTGAGACAAAATGCTTTGGCCAGCTTCAAATTGCGGAGCCCACAAGAGGAAACCGGCAAAGCTGCAGGCCCCCCAACGCAGCTTTCTTTTGCAGGGACAGCAGCGAAAGCCATAGCTTCTGAAGGGACTCTCCCTTAGGCAAGCTTAGCGGGAAACCTGCCCCCCCCCCCCCCGTCAAACACAGTCTACGAAAAGTCACCTGCATAACCCAGGACTGCACCATCAAGCAGCCTATTCGAGGCAAGTGCGGCAGATAGTCGCAGCCGCAAAGGATGCAGAATTCGATGAACTGCTCCTGGGTGTAAGACCTTGGCCGGGTTGCATATCCCTCTGTTTTGTTGCCCTGCACCCCTAAGCCAGTTGGCAAAACCAATGCTCGGAATCTGGTTTGCTTGGCAGATGTGTCAGGCTACTGCAGGAACATGTGGCCCACCTAAATCAACACGGCTTGTGGCATACGATGAAACCCGGCTAAAGGTCAGCCGTCAGATGACCTCAACCGTCAGCGCGACATTTCGTGAGCCGTCACAGGAGTCAGAAACATTCGTCCGTGCAACGCAGAAATGGAACGCGCCCTTTCCAGCAAACTTTGAACAGGATGCTTATGGGACATTTGCGACTTCTGGACTGGCGGTTGGAAGCAACGCCCAAGGATCCAAGCAGGCAATGTGCCATGCTCCAATGGTGGAGCCACGAAGAGTCATGCTTCCATCAAACAGCTGCTGCTTCTTGTAACCTATGTTCGCCTGTCTTTCAACCAGGTAACCAGGTCATGCGAAGCAAAATATGCGCCCTTGCGGCAGGCGCTGAGCTTGGGATTCAGCTGCAGGCTTCTGAGAGCCTTGCGTCAAGCCTTTCAGCGCAGATTCCAGTTGCACAGGTCAAACCGAGCATTCCTCCGCTCCAGCTTTCCAGCTTTGCAGGACTTATTGGCCGGGATGGCAGGCAAAGGTCAAATGGCCCGCCCTCTTCTGACTCAGAAACTGGGCGCGTACACTCCAACAGGTCTTCAAACATTTATTTGAGTCCCCAAGCATGCTCAACATCGGCGACTCAAACGGGGAAAATCTGTGAATCTTGCAAATGCTGGTCCCGTCCCGCCGGACCGTGCGTGTGCAGCCATCATGGGCCCTGCCGCAGAAAATCGAATGTTCACAAATGGCAGCGTTTAGCTTCTCAATCTGCTGTAGAAATACTGCGGCAGGATTCTATGAGGTGTCACGCCTGTGCCGAGATCCACGGGAAACTAAAAGGCTGCACGCGGGTGCTAAGAGCTTCTGGAACATTCAAACATATTTCTCCCTTTTTGTTGAGCCCCTGAGAAGGAATGAATAGACAATTGTGGGCTATTCAGCACGCTGATTTCGGCGCGAGATGAGAGCACTCGACATGTTTCAGGCAATCTCTTTGAGGACATCATCGCAACTTGGCAATGGCTGAGCTCTTCAAAGACAACGAATCGCCGGTTCCATATCTTCTTAAAACTACTCCCCCTCCTAGCATGGAGAACCTGACGTTCGCGGTGCGGTTTGGACCACTTTACCGTAGGGGCCCGGTCAGGAAGGCCAGGATCCATGTAAAAACAATCCAAGGGTAGCTCCACCTCAATCCCTTCGCTGTCCACTAGTCACTCGCTTCCTGGGAAAGCCTGGGGCTGGGACAAGGCATCCTGGACCAGGCTCAAATCCTCGGGGCATCCGAGCGGCTCTCCACGTTCTCCCGATGTGCCGAGAGGCCGAAAGGAAGCGATGGAGCCCCTTGAGGGTTGACCATTTCTGGTGGGGAACCCCCCCCCCAAAAAAAAAACAAAACAAAAACAACACAAAACAATGAACTCCTGGGTGACACCAGGCGCTACGTTCCACATCAACACGATGCCCCATCACCATCGGTGAGCGTCACCAGCAACATATCCCGAGGGGCGAGCAGGGACGACCTGGCTTCTGTCAGAGATCCGAGGGCTTGCTGAAGGGATTCCGCAAATAATTGTTTGTGTCGAACATGTCCGCATGAAACACTCACAAGGCTTCTGTGCAAGACTGCTTGCAACGGGGATTGTTGACAACGGCACTATGAAGTGTTTGGTTCGTCTGCGCCAAGTCAACAGATTCTAGGCGCGCAGAATCCATCCTAGTTCGGACTCGGACACTGATGTTGTTTTTTTTTCCGCCTGGCACGCCTCAGGTCCTTGTCAAACATGTCAAACATCAGGCGCAGCTTCAGGTTGGAACATGAAGTTCAGCTTCCCCCCTGTGGTTTGGAGCCGGCTTGGTGTTCCGGAGCGGTTTCCCATTCACCCTCCACCAAGGCCGGCTCAACTCCAAATCCAGTTCCCACCAAGCCGACCCAAGCTGGCGGGTTACCTGAGACGCCTTGGAATTCCCCAGTCGCGCGCCTGCCATTGCTTCCGAGCAGCGACTTCACGCGCGGGCTTGGGCTGTCGGGTTCTGGAGCCCTCCACGTCGAAGAGATTCCTCAACCCGTGTTCTCGCCGCAAGCACAGCTGGAGGCAAGTTCTGGACCACGCTGCCACACGTAAAACCGATGCCCCCAACTCCGAGCAAAGGGCAACCCACAGTCTTGAATGCCTTGCAATATGCTCATGCGGAGACGGATCCCGCCTTGGTCGCTTGTTCTGTCCAGTTTGAAGCAGTGCACACGCGTTCGTGGACGACGCTGGGTGCTAGGGCCGAATTAGGCACAGATTCTGTCTTTTCTGCCAAACTCCGCCTACCAACCATCAACGCAAAGGAGTGGTCATCCGCTAGTCTTCCGTGCGCTTGCTGTGCTCTTCTCGCGGTGGATCCTGGTCGTGCTTCCAAAAAACCGTCGCCGCCGTTCCGTAGCTCTGTTTGCTGATTTGTTGTGTCGTAGTTTGTCTCTTTGCACAGGCCTTGACAACCAACTCAACAACGTCCTCATGGAATCTGGGCAAACATTGGCCCTTTGGCGACCCGCTGTCAAAAACGGGCGTATAGACAACCCTACCCTTGTGGAAAAGCCTTCTTTACAGCAGTGGTAGCAAAGCAAATCGCAAACATTTCAAGTTTTGAGCAGTTCACCCCAGAGTTCACCCCAGAGTTCTACTTGGCCTTTTGGGGATGTGAATTAGCCTTTCTGAAGTTTACTCAATCAGATCGCACATACGATCATACGATCATCCATCGCGATGCCGCACGACTTGAAGGCGGGCATCGCAGGTTTGACTTTACAACGCGAGAACAAGATTTCCGGCTCAAACGGGGAGAACCATGAAGAAACATCAAGTGGCAACCTCACCGGTATTTGGCCATGGGTCAAATGCCCATACCCCCAGTGAACATCCCAATCCCCACTAAAATTGACTAAAATGGGTGGTGCACCTACCCCAAAATGGTACCATTGGTTTTGACCCACAGCCATTTCAGATGCGAAAGGTGTCTGAGCCTCAACCTCATGCTCTACACCTTAGCGTCAACATGCGCGCTTTAAGCCCAGGATCAGAGAGCAGCGGCTGAACAATTCGAAAAATCTGCAGGGCATCCAAGAAAAGCAGGCAAGGGACTCAAAGGATGCACGTGCTTTCAAACCGTAGGTCCTGTTTCATGAACCTGGGTGAATTATAATATTTCACCAACCTGAACTAAGGTGGTTGGGAGGCTATTCCCCCACATAAACCGCCATTTGGGGTGAATTCGGTCGTGCGAGGTCGTTATAATTCACCCAGATGAATCACATCGTGGCCAGGGCAATCCATTCGCGCCTACGACCAAGGCACTTCACCTGCCGCGGCGCCCCGAACCTGAGACATGGATCCATGCGCCCCGGGGTTGCACAACGTGAGGCAGACTCCCTCAGACTAACATGGAAGCTCCCAGGCCTCCGTAAACGAAGCCAAGTCTTCTAAAGTTGGGAGCTTCCATGTTAGCCTGGGAAAGGGGGTAATTCTGCACCGTCGAGGGAAAAAACGCAAGGTGAAGTTTGATGCTTCGCTTGGCAGGCCTTGCATCTAAGCACCCCAAACAACCTGGTCACAGCTGCAGGGTTCAGGACATGCTCGGAAATTTGAACAAAGGCCTTTGACAAGATCTATGCAACGAGCATCCGCTTGTTTTAAGGCTATCAGTGAGATACATGGGATGCTTGCTTCAAACTGTCTCCATTTGCTGCCGCAGCAGCGTCAGCACATCCATATCCTCAGTCACCGCAGCATAGACCTGGCCCTCCTGGGACAGTGATCCAGCTGTGAACCTCCGGAATTTGCCTTGCACACAAGAACATCCACGGGTTTACTTCCCCTTGGTTAAGACCCCTCGAGAAACAAAAAAAAGTAGTGATAGATTCCCCTTAAAACCAACACGGGAAAATAATAATAAAAAACATCTTAAGCAGATGGAAGTTTACTTCTTCCTTCATTGGGCAAAGATTGGTTGAAGAACCAGGCCCTGGCACCCTCGAAACAAAGAGGAGTTGAAGCAATGGTGGTTTCATCACAGGGTTGGGCCATACGCAGAAGGAAACATCGCCGCCGGAACGGGTTAGCCGGAACGAGTTAGGACTGCGTTCTGGAGCGCCAAGCCCGCTCAAGGCCAATTGCGGCATCCCTCCAACAGAAAGGGTGCCACTTGTCGAACTCCAAGCCCTGAACTGTGAAGGGCCACTTAAACACAACCAAACATCATGAATCATCCCGGTTGGACACAAAGAACCGGCACTTGATGGTTGCTCTATAGGTGATGGATTGAAATAATCACATGGTCCAATGACGAAAAGTCATTCATTGCTTGCCCAATGTTGTTCATAGCCACCTCGCGGTTCAGAGCCTCAGAGCCGCGTATGGAACCCTAGGGGCCCTATCGGCATGACTGCTTGACTTGTACGTGCCTGGACAATGATGACATATCGTGCGACTGAAATGAGAACTGGACCCCCCGAAAAAAGAAGAACAAGTCGCAAACCAGAAGCCTTGATGAGTTCGCTTCATTTGCCGAGATTGCGCCAGAACCTAGACCCCCCTGCAAACCAATACCGCATTTGTTTGTTGGTTGCGAGGGCAAATAAAGAAACATACAATTTGAATGCACTAAATCATGAAAGCCGAGGCCGGGTCTTGGTTTGCGGCAAACAGGGGAGCAACCAGGACCCTCGGGTACAAACTCCAACACTCCTGGGTGTTGCATATAAGAACCATGAGTTGGATTCTCGCTCATAAGGTCCCGCTTCGTGAGGCGCGTGAGTCATAGGTACTAAAAAGGTCTGCCCAAAACCATGCACAAAAATTGAATGGCCGGATAACCGCACCCACTTATGGTTGCGATTGTCCCTTAATCTTTATCTAGCCGAATCGGTTTTAATGTCGTGGCTCAAATGGATGTGAACTTGAATTAGAAAAGGGTGTGACTCAGAACTTTTCTCACCCAGACATTTCCGGTTTTGGTTCCCTCCAAGGATCCATTTTGGTGTTGGGTTCTCGCTCCTTACCCAGGTCCTCCATCAGAGAGGTGAGAATAAGGGTACTTTCTTTTCTGTAGTCTATATTAGTATGGGGGACCTAGTTACCTTACACGACACGAATCCCCCCACACGGCGCTCCCCCAACAAAGACACGGTAAAAGGGCACTACTGGGGGACCCGGTTACCCTCCCTCAAAATCCCAGAAAAAAAACAGCGATGGGTTTTTGAACACGGGGAATCCACCCCCTAGACACAGTCGGTTCTCCTTCCTTACCTCTCCCCTCGCCCCCCTCGCCCCCCTACGCCCCCACGACCCCACGACTCGGCCCCCGGTCCCGGCAGAGCTGGGCGCAGGTGGCCTCAGCCTCCGACTCCGCCTCCACCACCGGCAACCCCATGGAGTGCAGCAGCTCCTGCCGCGTCCCAGTCCCACCAGTCCCCCCCCCCACCTCCTTGGTTGCTGCTGACCGACCCCCTTGCGAGAAGTTTATACCTTGTTGGGGGGTTAGTGGAAAACCCAACTTGGTTTCAACCAACAAGTTAAAGTCTAAAGATCCGACCCAAGAGCTGTCGAGCTTAAGGGGGAGGGGGGTGGGGGATCCCACACTTCCATTGATTCAGTCTTCCAACCACAAAAGGGAAAATGGCTCACCCTAAATGGAGATCTCCAGGGGTCGAACTCCCCCCTCCCCCAATTCCATTTTGAAGGGGGTGGGGATGCTTTGATCCGCGCGGATCCGGCAGACACAGGCGTTGGAGACCCGCCCATTTTTAGGGGGAAGCGGCCCCACGTTCTTTCCACACAAATCCCCTAAACACAAAAAAACGCCCGTTTTAGGGGAAGGGGCTGCATTCTTTCCACACAAATCCCCTTCTTTTCACAAAAAAAAACATGAAAAACCAGGGGGAACAGCTGATTGTTGAAAAGAACGACTCTGAGCCACACCTCCCCATTCTGAAGAGCCAATCCACTTATCCCCCAAAATGATGCACACAAACAAACTACCGAAGAAGTCCACCCAAGCAGCTAAAACTCAACTGTTCCTCTTCCCTCCCTTTGCCCACATCCATGTCATGAATCATTCATTGCCAGGCAACCCTGACAAACACAATGCTTGTGGCTTCACTGCTCCCAAATATCCACTTCCCATTCTTCCAATGGAGGCGAAAGCAGCAGCCCCCGCAGCAGTAGTCATCACTTTCGGGGGGAAAGAGCCGATGCTTGAAAATATGGCCTCATACAATACTTCCCCATTCTTTCTGGCTCTTCAACTTTCACCCAAAACAGATGCAAAAACAAAAGGCAAAACGGGGACATACTGATAGAAAGAACGATGCTGGGCGACAGAACGATGGATTTGGGGAAGAACGACCGCCCTGGGGAAAGAACAATGGTAGGCTGAGAGAACGCTGCCGGGAAGGGAGGAAAGAATGGGGAATCCAACGCTCTCCCATCCTTTTCACGAACCTGACACAAATGGAACATGGTCCAAACCAGAACCCCCCCTTGGGTGGTGGGAGGGGGCTCTCTCTGATCAAGTGTTCAATGGAAGTGGACGACCGAAGGGTTTCGGAAACTACCATCCTCTTCTTCAGTCTTGGACAAACCCTCCACTTCCATCATTGGTTGGGAGAACTTGTTGTTTCCCCTTCGCTGTTGTGAAGGGCGTACGCCCATGCCTCATTGGGAATCCCCAGAAACAATTTGGTTTCTTCCCTTTAAAACGCCCAACCAGGATCGAAGGGTTTCGGACCATCCTCTTGCGGCCCCCCCCTCTCTCTCTCTGCTTCCATATGGCTGAACCCGCGCGCCAAAGTGAGCTGGGGATTTGTTGGAGGCTGGCGAGGCTGGAAAAGCCTGGTAGCTTAAAGGTAACCACTCTCAACGTGCCACTGGCCCAGTGGCAACGAGTACTACAATTGGACCCTTAACGCACTTCTTCTGGGGGGGGCGCCAGCATATATCACACTTAAACAGATGTGAAGCGTCGCCAAGAGCCAGCATGTTTTCTTTCCCAAACCCAGGGTCTGCGCACAGCCACCCCGAGAAGGCGTGCAAAGATGCACGCGACTGGTGCGACCAGATGCTTATCATTATGCCAAAATATGTGAAACCTAGCACATTTCAAGCTAAGTCCGTCGACTTACGCTCAGACCACTAAAATACCCATGACGGGGCTGACAGCAACAGCAAATCATCATATTTTCACTTGTGGGAACTGAGCATTAATTATTCCGCCCTTGGTACAACCAGGGTCAATCAAGTCGAGTCGCTCAAACAACAGTCGGAGCACGAACGATATTGCATAAAAAGATGCAGCCCAAAGCAATGTGCAAGAGATCCTTGGGTGAGGCTGTGAAAAGGGTTCTGATTTGCTCCACTTGTCACACCGCCCAAAGCATTCCCGTGACATGGTTAACACCTGGCAAGGAACCCAAAGGACCATTCTCAGAGCGGTGTCCGCACCAGCCGTTGGGCGTGCAGTTGCGCAAAAAAACAGTGCAGGTCGCAACTGAGCCATATTGGGCTAACCTGGAGTGGCTGTCTTGGTCAAGTAAACAAAGAACGCGTCCATGAGAGCCTCCGTTGAAATAAGAACACCCTTGTTTGTATATTAAACTATATGTAGCACCCAGGAACCAATCATGCGCACTATGAGAGGCTGGCAGGGTGGACGTCAACCTGCTGATCTAATTGTGATTCAGCGGTATCATGAAGCAACTTGACATGAACGCCAAACAGATTCACGTACAAGTTGATCTGATTAACACCCGTGCCTTCGAGCAAAGGTTGCTAGAAGTCACACTCACGGCGTTGCTTTGTGCATTAGAGCGAATCCAAGACTCCCATGAAATGGGAACGGATTTTACTCCCAGATTCAGTTTTGGTTCAAGGGGTCCACAAGGGCCTCCTTTCTTTCTAAATCAAACCTTGGTGCACCAAGTGGATGCCACTGAATATGCTTGTACCCCATCATTGCTTCTTAGCCGACAGGGCCCATTCCCAAGATTCGGATGGCCGTGACACAAATAACAATGCTGCCATGATGCACTAAACTTGTTTTGCCAGCCAATGAGTCGAGACTAAAAGGATAAGGCATGGATTGTTGTTTTGGCTACTTTAGAAGCCACAATCAAACAATTGAGCAGTGTTTTTTTGTGGTTCGAGGCCTATACACTACTTGCATGGCTACGCGAAGGCCTACGCAAACCTACGCGGTCTGCGAGGGGTGCCTACGCGAGCACAAGTCAGCTTCCAGGTGCCTACGCGAATGCCTACCCGGGCACATGTTGAGTTCAAGTGTCGAAGTGCACTGTGGCAGCTCCAGCTGGAAAATCGCAACTTTTCGGTACAAGTGCAGTTTTGGCAGCTCCGGCTCTAAGATCAGAATTGCAGTACAAGTGAGAAGCCCGCATCTGTCCAAGGATCTGGCTGCCAGAAAAGGTCTACGCACCCAAAATGCCTTGAAAGCCTACGCGAATGCCTACGCGGGGCCTACGCGGAGCCTACGCGAAGACTCCAGAACAAACAGAAGGAAGGCAAAAGAAGCAAATTCATTTATACTTGGCAAACAGCACTGAGTCATGATTTGTTCAACAAACGCCTACGCGAAAAGCCTACGCGAGGGGTGACACAACAGCCTACGCGCTGAAGCCTACGCGAGCCTACGCCCCCAACCAGGATTGCCTCCACAAAGTACATGCAGTTCCCTTTTTGTATGAACCCTTTCATTTGATTAAAAAACGCTACTCAATTGGCTTTGCTGAATTGGCTGAGACAAACGTGCACACTTAGCCTTGACAAAATTTAGGGGGCGCCGGGCTGCTGACTAATTAAGCCAACTCCAAGCCCCCCAAGGCTCGCTGCCCTTGAAATTGAACGACCCAAACGATGTGAATCATCCATCATGCGATTCATCCGCCTCTTGAAACGATACGATGCGCGTGCTGAGGCCACGCGTATTCGCATTGGCAGCGGCATTCAATCCTCTCAATCGAGCAGCTGCCTGGCGAAAACGTGGACTATGGAGTCTGATCAAGGTCGCTGCAGCGCACCATCAGCGGCATTTGTCTGAGCTGAAAAGAAAACCAACAAAAAAACCTTTCTGATGGGCAAACATGGCCTCGCACTGATGGCATGGCTGGACGGAACAGTCCAAAGCGCGCCTCGAAGACCGCTATGACCCTTCAGGTGTTGCGGATGCAATCAAGTCTGGTGTTCAGGTCGGCCACCAAATGGTGTGGAAACTGCAGATTCTACGCGCGCTGTTTGAGCAGGGCGCTTTTGTAGCAGCCAGGCTTCTCTTACCAAAGGAAGTTCTGGCGGAGCTCCAACAGCATCCAGCCCCCGAGAATTCCAGAAATCCTCCTAACAATGCAGACTGGCTTCCAAAATCCACACTTGCCAGCACTAAATTTAAAACAGGCCAATTTAAAACCACTACAAAACTCGCGATTTCTTTTCTGAGCCCAAGTAGTGGCTTAGGGAGGCCGGGACAGCGGGAGGAAAGGGGGGACCCCTAATGATCAATGTCTTTCCCCATAGGTTTGCTCCTTCATTAAAAAGAGGGAGTCGCTTTATTCGTGCGGGGAACGAATGGGAACGACCACGAAACCAAAGGCACCTGGTCCGAGTAAGTGCCCTATTGAGGCGTCTTTTGGCAAGGACATTGACAAATCTTGCTCGGTCTATTGGGGAGGAATCGTGGTGTTGTCCGAACCTCCCTGAAGGAGTCCATGGCATGTTTTTGCTAGGGATGTTTTGAGCATGCCACATATGCCACCCCATGGTTCAATTTCCACTGGTGCAGAATGGGATGGATCCTTCAGCCGAAGGCGGCTCTGAGGTACGCATTGTTGCCACACGGTGAGATCCGATATTGAAACATGCGACACTTGTTGAAAAACAGTACATGCTTCAACATGTCCTCCCACTGGTTGTTCCCACTTGAAATATTGTTCTTTGCAGTTTGATTCGATCTGTTACGGTTTTCCGGGGGTCAGTTGCAGGCAGCGCAAGGCCGCCCAAGAAAATCAGACGCTGCTTTGACACGGGTTATGGCTTTAGGGATCCCCCCTACACCAGCTGAATGTTTCATAGGGGTCGTTCCCTCAAGAGCCAGCAAGACAAAGCGCGTGAGAAGAGATGCCTAGCCAAGTCCTTGATGTACTTGAAGTGCCTGTCGCTGTCGGGCAGCAACACCGGCTTGTCGAGCCAATGAGGCTCAATGGCGTCGTATTACCGACTTTTCGTGTTGGAGGGTTGCGCTGAGGCTACGAGCATCCTTCCAAGAGTGTGGCTCAAAAGGCCCCAAAATGGCGGTTTTCCTTTCAGTTCCCTTTGGCACTAACCCCTCAAAGCATACTCAAAAAACACCCACAAAAGCCGCAATTTCACGTTGCAACCCCAAAG